CACATGCAGTTATTATGAGGATGACAACATCTAATGTTGGCTTCAACTTGGCTTTCCATAAATCCTTCCATTAAAAAAGCAACCTGGTTTTTGGTCACAGATGGTGAGATTAATGCTACCACTATTCATGGCTTTATTAGACCTACGTGTCCCTGCGTCAGCCACAGAGGCTACAGAAAAATCGGCATGCACGCATCCAATCTATTTAGTCTGGCAATGACCACATTATTCGCACGTATTTTAGAATGTAATAATCATTTTAATATCAATGCATTGGCAAAGACTAAAAGTGGTAATGGGGATTATATTAGGCTCTATATGTACAATTACATAAATTATATTAAATTAAATTATACAATTGTATAGCATTGAGGTCCTTGACAATTGCAATTAAGTCCTTGTAAAAGTGCATGAAAGTCATTGAATTTGACTTGCCAATGTCTGTATGAACACTGCTTAAAGGATGTATGCATGAAACTGCATGAAAATCATTTTTATTTTTGTTTCAAACCATTTTGAAATGTTTATCCCAATGTCACACATTGGCACCATTAGTTATAGAAAGACCCATATTCACTGAGTGTACAAAATATTAGGAACATCTTCCTAATATTGAGTTGTACCCCCTTTTGCCCTCAGAACAGCCTTAATTTGTCGGGGCATGACTCTACAAGGTATCGAAAGCGTTCCACAGGGATGCTGGGCCATGTTGACTCCAATGCTTCCCACAGTTGTGTCAAGTTGGCTGGATGTCCTTTGGGTGGGGGATCATTCTTGATACACGCGTGAAAAACCCAGCAGTGTTGCCAGTGGCGAGTTTTAGCATGTAAATCTTGGTGGGGCAAACTCCCCCAAAAAATGTTTTATGCATGCCAGCAAAGCCACTACACAACACAACACTAAACAATACATTAATTGCACTATAATGGTGACAAACGGTGCCCACAAACTGTTAGGTCCTACATAAAGCTGTCCCAACAGCAGTCCCAACACCTTACCACTGCTACACATGGCTATCAGCAGAGCCTTGTCTGGCAGTGAAACTGTTCATTCAGCCTCATTTATTGCCTTTTAAAAAAACATAGCTGATATGGCTGACTTGCTTAAACAAATGTGGTTTCTACTGACAATTGAGATGTACAAACTATGGCATAAGGGGACGACGAGCTGATAAGAGGCAATCCGTAATTTCGATTAAGACAATGAGCGAGCTAGGACGGACGTAGTCAATATAGCTGTTTGTTCAGCACTTTTCAAATGTACAGCGACAGAATTCAGAACATGGGCCGTTCTAACAGTATTCTCCCTGTACACGTTCTCCCTGTCTCCCTGGCAAATTACATAATTTATGTAGCAGCAAACAAGACATTTTTGGACTCACCTTGTTGTGCTGTTCTCACTTGAACAGGAAGGTGGCGAGGCGGTCCTTGTTGGGCAATTTTTGTCAACAAACTTTGTGATCAAAGTCTGGCATTCTCTGGATTTATGGTGCTTTCAAGACAACTGGGAACTCTGAAAAAAACAAGGTTGAATCATGACGTTAGTGATTTTATTTATTTATTTATTTTACCTTTATTTAACTAGGCAAGTAAGTTAAGAACAAATTCTTATTTACAATATGCAGGTCGGAGCTCTAGAAAGAGGCCAGAGTTCCCAACTTGGAATTCCGAGTTGGATGACCGTTCAAAACGTATTTTCCCAGTCGGAGCTCGTTTTTTTCAGAGTTCCCAGTTGTCTTGAACTCACTGAGGTCTAATATTTCAGAGTTTCCAGTTATTTTGAACGCGGCAGAAGTCATGACAGCATGGCCAATGTTGAATGTTGATCCTTTTAAGCTTGGAAAAGAGACCCCTAAACCCAGACTTGGACCACACATCCACTCCACTGAATAGCAGGCTAGTGATTGTGTAACCGGTGTGAAATGGCTAGCTAGTTAGCGGTGCGTGCTAGTAGCGTTTCAATCGGTGACGTCACTCGCTCTGAGACCTTGAAGTAGTTGTTTCCCTTGCTCTGCAAGGGCCGCGGCTTTTGTGGAGCGACGGGTAACGGTGCTTCGAGGGTGACTGTTGTCGACGTATGCAGAGGGTCCCTGGTTCGAGCCCAGGTAGGGGCGAGGAGAGGGACGGAAGCAACACTGTTACATTGATGCTGTTGACCCGGATCACTGGTTGCTGCGGAAAAGGAGGTCAAAAGGGGGGTGAGTGTAACCGGTGTGAAATGGCTAGCTAGTTAGTGGTGCGCGCTAGTAGCGTTTCAATCGGTGACGTCACTCGCTCTGAGACGTTGAAGTAGTTGTTTCCCTTGCTCTGCAAGGGCACTTTTGTGGAGCGACGGGTAACGGTGCTTCGAGGGTGACTGTTGTCGACGTATGCAGAGGGTCCCTGGTTCGAGCCCAGGTAGGGGCGAGGAGAGGGACGGAAGCAACACTGTTACAATTGCTTTGCTATGCTTGCAGTTAGCCACTGATTCCTTCCAAACCACTCATTGTTGAATTTGCGATTTCCAACTTGTTTTGTAATGTTTATGTCTAATGGCTGATGAGCACCGATACGTTTTATCTATAATTTCTCTTCATTTGACATGGATTGAAAAGGATTTGCCAGTAGATTGTCGACTTGATTCATGATGATGACTGCTAGCTTGCTAGCTAAGATTTTGAAAGAATGATGTTGACATGATCATTCCAATCAAAGCTGCTGTAGATATAACGTGATTTGACGTAATTTTATCTGTGGCCAATGACCTTGAACCTTCTTGGATGGGCACTTCTAATGTAACTCTATGGCAGCACCCAAGGGGCTTGAATTTTCGAGCTCTCCCCGTAGATTTTGTGGTGACGTAGTGTCCCCATGAGTGACAGAACACTGAGCCAATCACAGCGTAACTAGAGAACATTACCAACCCCTACGCTCCGTATTTTCCGCTGGCTGCCCCATCACCACAGAAAGCACTGAGCTAGGTTGAAACACCTGCATTTTGGAGCTGCCTAACTCAAGAAAGCAAAAAAGAGACCATGTTTGTATGTGGTTTTATTAACTCTATTATTATTTTTTTTTTACATTGTTTGCAAACTGATATGCCCCACCTGCCCTGAATGACGGGTCGCCACTGAGTGTTGCAGTTCTTGACACACTCAAACCAGTGCGCCTGGCACCTACTACCATACCCCGTTCACAGGCATTTAAATATTTTGTCTTGCCCATTCACCCTCTGAATGGCACACGTACACAATCCATGTCTCAATCGTCTCAAGGCTTAAAAATCCTTCTTTAACCGGTCTTCTCCCCTTCATGACTGAAGTGGATTTAACAGGTGACATCAGTAAGGGATCATAGCTTTCACCTGGATTCACCTGGTCAGTCTGTCATGGAAAGAGCAGGTGTTCCTAATGTTTTTTACACTCAGTGTACTGTATTCTAGTCAAGGCTCATCCTATATAACTACTGCTGTACACACCTTTTATATTCATATAATGTCTATACACACCATTATATACATATTTATATTCCGGACTCTGACAATACTCATTCTAAAATGTCTATATTTCTTAATTCCTTTATTTTTATTTTTTGGATTTGCTTGTGTTGTTTTGTATTGTTAGGTATTACTGCACTGTTGGAGCTAAGAACATAAGCATTTCGCTACACCCGCAATAACATCTGCAAAATATGTGTAAGTGTAATATTTGATTTCACTAGTGGTCGGTAGCATTTCCTTCCATAATCTTCCCTTAATGCTGGACCAGCCACATCTATCTATCTGTTCCTCGGGCTACACATAAGGGGGCAGGCATTTAAATTCTAAAGCTGCGAAAACTTAAAAGTGATTTAATTCTCTCTCGTTTTCTCTCTTCGTGTAAAAACCAAAAGTTACAAAAACGTTGAATAGTCTGGAGATGAAGATGGGTGGCAAGATATAACTGCACACTTCTTTATTAATAACTGCATATACCTACTCTATGTGGCTCAGAGACCCTATCCTTCCGAGCTCGAGGAGAAAGTGCCGTGAGGGAGAGAAGGGAATCCTCCCGTCTCTGACGTGCCTTTACCAAGGAAACCCACACGCGTGTCCTCTCGCAACTGCCCATTTTAGGAAACATACGTCAATGGACAGTACCAAATCAGACAAACGGTGAATATAGAGATACTGTATCACTTCCACCCGATTATAAAACACACGTGCGTAAACATGTAGGCTTATCACAAGCATAGTAAATCGACTCTAACAATATTATTTATAACAATAAAGCTGATTTACGATACTGTGTGCGGATTTTTACAATCGTAAATATGATAACCCCTCCCCAAGTGAAGTGTCTACGCCCAGAGACAGTGACGTGAATGAGCCTGTTTGCGTTGATAAGCGGTTGCAGTTCTTCGTAGTGCCATTGAAGTGAGTCATCCTAGTGTGGGGAAGGAATAGAAAAAGAAAGATAAAACTGTTCCAGAGGAACAGTGGATAGCTGAAGTAGGCCTAAAGTGTGTCGCGGGGAAGGGATTCTGTAGAGTAGGCTGGGGTGGAAAGCAAATTTAAAGCCTCTGTATGTGACTCACTCGCAACACAAGTCTATTCACCGTCAACTCTGGATTGACTGCGAAAGTAGGTGACTTTTGTTCTTGAAGTTGGCTCTTGTAGCACACCTGAATAGGCTACAGCAGTGACAAGAGGAAAAACAATAGCCGAAGTTATCCTCAAGCAGGTGATCATTATTTGAAGTGGACAAAAAAATAATAAACAAATTCAGTTTTACTTCTTGTTAATTGCCTACAAATATTTCATTTCGAAGAGCCTGGACTTATTGTACCAATAACCTATTTGAGAACACTTTTTTTCTGGATTTCCAAGTGTTTTAACGACTATTGCTTTCAAGTTGGTCACTTTCCAATCTGGTCCACTTTCAGCACACAAAAAGGGATTCCACTGTCAGTGATATCTGTCAAAGGATTTTTTGAGAGCTAGGAACTCATATCATCTACTGAAATATTCCTCTTTCCTGGATCATGTACCAGGACTACTCCGTGAACTACGACACCTCGTCCTGCGGCAGCAGCACTTCGCCGGCCCAGCCAGAGTCATTCACAAGCGGCAGCAGCACGATCGGCAGTCCGATCTCTACCTCAAGCTACCAGGTAACGCAATACAGTCAACATAATATAAATTCTATTTTCTCAAATTAAAATATTGGCATTCACAACTGTAATTTTAGTTTGTATCGACATTTCGTCACTGTGCAGTTGTCTATGAATCACTGAAACCACTGACACACTTTTAGATGGGTAACTCGAAGAGGCTATAGTGCTGTGCGTAATAAAAGCTTATGTGGTGTGCAATGCAACCGAGGTGCATATTATCTTTCTAATACATTATGTCAATTTTTTATTCAAGGACCATTAAGAATATTATATATATATTTAAATATATTACTCCAAACTATAGCCTAGTGCTGTTGAGACTTTTTCTTCACATTCGGAGAAAGAGCGCCCGCGGTATAGCCTGTGATATTATCCGAATCTGCGCGCGTTATATTGTGATTTTATCCCAATATTTCCCCACCTGCGCCGAATCTGTGGGCGTTTTATTGTGATATTATCCCAATATCTCCCCACCTGCTCTGCAATGAGGTGAAATGTAATAGATTATATATATGGTTCTGGCCAAGACACCGATGCGCGAGCGAAGTGCGTAAAAAAGGAACAAACCGACTCAATGCCGGATTTATTTTTAATGTCATGAAACCTGTGTTATGAACGACTGCAGAAAATGTACTTATTGACACAGGTGTTTATCCGTCATCTGAATTTCCATATGCAATAAGGTATTGCACAGTCGCTGTAGCATATACTTTTAACACCCACGTGTTGCACTATAGAACTGGACACTTGAAGTTGAGGGGACGTTTTTATTAGAAAATACATATTTTGTATACGGAAGATTACACTTTAGAAAGTGTTCATACTGTGTAGTCCACAAATAATTTAGGCTTACGCACATTATAAGACCTGTTGATTGAGTATAAACTTATATGAACACAGGAGGCACGTTATCATGAGTTATAACACACACCAAACTGCGAATAGGTTGATACAGCATATTTTGCAATGCTGATCGCTCTCAACATTTCTCCTCCAAGATATGGATTTAAACAGAAGTTGGAATGTGTAAACCAAAGGGTTACCTTTTCCCTTGCACATGGGATAACGGCTTTATTCATGCGCATAACTTGGTCATGGGGAACAACAAATATGCACTGATTCTACCAATCCTTCTCAGTGCCTTCTTGGTTCATCACTGATCACCACTGTAAAGCGAACAGCGCAAAAAAAGAATCTTGACTAGGACTCCACATTGGATAGAAGTTCTGCAACTAGGCCTATAGCGTCATTCAGTGGTGGTACGCTGCACATTGCACAATATAGGACAACCAGTCGCAGGGTTGACATCCACCCATAGCTTCGAGGTTGTGTGTGTGTTGCAGATGGGCCCCATGTATCACGCACTGGCAGATTTAGTCGTGACTTGGGAACGGCAGGTTAAAACGCTCACGAAGCGTCTCCCAATGCGCCCTCGGAGATGTTGGATCATTTGGAGACTTCGAGGCTGGAATTTCCCCCAGATCTCCTATAGTGATTAGGCCTACGGATTTTCTTTTCTACCTGCTCTCCCGTCCTCTCTTTCGAATGACATTCTGAGATGTGACGCCCAGTGGCTATCATTGAGGAACAACCATATCAGCATTTCACACCCCATGTCCACTTTCAATGCTATTCCCGACAAAGATTAGCTTTTAAGGTTGAAAAGTATCAATATGTTTTATGAAAGTGACAGAGAGACATGTCTTTGTTGTGTTTTTAGTCGCATTATCAAATTCAGAACCCGCAGTAGGCCTACTTCGGCAAATGAAGGAGGATCTCTGTGCGCTACATTTCACAGGTTGTTCTTTCATAGACCGGTGTTCTAATCTTATTTCATATAATGGACATTGCGACTGTTTAGATCTCGTCTCAGACAAATGTCGGAAAACTGAGGGCTAAAAGAAGTGTTTCGTTTTTGTAGGTCTAATAATGAGTTGACTGGAAGCGTTACGGTTGCGCGGCAATTTTACGCGCGATTTTATCAGTCGGATTTTGACAAAATTACCACCTTGGTGAAAGGACCTGTGTCTGCTAAATGGCAATTGTTGTGTTGCACCCGTGGGCGCACAGAAGCATAACAGCTGGACTGGTCGTAGGGTTAAATCATATTTCTCGTCCATTCCAGACCACAACTCCCACGCATTTGACTTTGTTCTTTCAATGGTTTGTCTGCCTAAATCCGTATTTTGAATTGACTTGGTTACATCGATGACCGTATGGGTTACATCAACTTCGAGATTATCATAAGCATTTCCATATTTGCTCCCGGTTTGACACAGTGCCATTGGTGCTCTCTCTTCCCTGGACATGTTTACAGTATTTTGGAGGCGAAAGTTCCTGGATGTTTACGTCATCCTTTAGTTTCTCGGGGGCGGAGGACAACTATTCTATTTGTTTAAGAGGGCTGTTCTTTTCTCCTGCAGCAATGGCCAAATCCCATCGCGTAAGAGTAAGACCAGAATCCGGGAAAGGGGGTAACGAGTGGGAAGCTGTTTACCGGCACACAGACTCTAGCATTCTGACTTGATAGCCTATAAGAGACAACTCACTGGGCCGGGAAACGCCTAACATGTTGTATTTGGACCCTGCACCTAGAATTGTGGATAGTGTTTCACAATATGGCCTAACAATGGTGCTTCTAGCAAATGGCAGGCATTTGTAGTCTACTCGTAGTCGATTCACCTATTGTCTCTAAAATCTAATTTGCACAACAGCCTTCCTTGACCTATGTTCATATCCCCCCGTTCTTACCAGAAATGTCTGTCAATTCTGTGTGGCAACCAGACACCCATATTACCATATCCAACCATTACCCCATTTATGACTTTACCTTCTCGTTAGTTATTAGCCCCTAGGATTTATGACCGCAATGGAATTTTCTCTGTTGCCTCACTTCTGGAATGTAACTGGCCGGGACCTAGCTTTCCTCTCTAGCCTAAATATAATGCCTCTTCCCGCCTTACTGGAACTGACCGTTTTACGCACGTGCTTTACTTTACCAACATGACTCATCGCAAGGTAATAATGGATTAATTGACCCCTGGATGATAGCCAACCACGTGACTGCGTAAACCAGAAGCATAACTAGTCTCTTCATGTTCTATGTTTAATGAACAAGTAAATCGGGTTGGCTGATGACATGCATCACTCACCTTTTCCCTCTAGTCACTCAAGTGTCAGGTGTGGACTTGTTGAGACATACTCACTGGCATCCTAGCCTTGCTTTTAGGTCAATATCATTGTGCCATCAGATATTGTCCTATCACCCCAAAGATGCCTCATGAGGGCTTAAGCCATATAAGCTTTCACTTCTGTGATGTCACACACAACAGTTTGGTAGTTAATTGATCATTGATGAGCATGATAGGTCCTCAGATAATGTAAACATAAGGTCTTATGTAATCTATTTTATTAGAAAAAATAGATAGGCTACACTTGTATATTGAAAGAGAGAGACCTATATCAGTGCCACTGCAAACCATCATAATCACCCTATACTGACTGGAATAAACAAGTCATCACACCTTCCCCCGTGGATGTTTTCTTTTCTTCAGAGAGGTGTACAATTCCATACCATGTTGCTTTCCAGATGACTTGCAGCTTGATGCAAGCTCCTCTCCTAGCTGTAGTATAATGATGGAGGCAGCACCACTACGGCTTTTCCGCCGTGATTCACTGAATGTGTCACTGACTGTGCCACTTCGGGGGTTAAACGGGTGAATCTAGACAGTGTTTGTGTGTGGAGTCAGTGATTCACTACTAGGCTGTAATGAAGAGGATGTGTGAGTATGATGAAGGGTGGGTGGCCGGTTTGTACACTGGCGGGTTATGCTACAGTACTCTGTGGCAGAAATGGAAATTGAGGTAGCAGGGTCAAAGACATGTCAAGTGAATTTTTCCCCCCAGTTGTAACCAGTTAAATAAATAAACAACATTCCATTTAAGCAACAAATAAATACATGGAAATTGAGATTTTGATGTTACTCCATTCACAATGGGTTTGTCCCCAGAGTTGAAGACACACAAAACTTGTGTTCTTTGTCATCTTGAAAACATTCATTGTCATCTTGAAAATATCCACTCACCATTTCTCTGCCCTCTTGTTTTCCCTCCCTCTCTCTTGGCTACCTTTCCTGTATCTAGAAATACCGGGTCGACATGCCTGGCTCTAGCAGTGCCTTCATCCCCACGATAAACGCCATCACGACCAGCCAGGACCTGCAGTGGATGGTGCAGCCCACGGTGATCACCTCTATGTCCAACCCGTACTCGCGCTCCCACCCCTACGGCCACCACCTCTCCAACGGCCCCGGGCTCCAGGGACACACCACCCTGGCCCGCCCGGGCGTCATCCGCTCCATCGGGGACACCCGCGGACGCCGCAGGAGAGATGAGCAGGTGAGGATCACAAGTGTACAGATGATGCGTGTGTTTAAAAGTTACTTTTGTCTGGCTGTGTGGAGAGCACCATGTGCCGGCAAGCACTATTGGTGAATGTCTTCTAACATTGTGAGACAGTAGAGTGAGTTTTAATATCAAAGTCCCAAGTTGTGAGGAATTTGGCGATATTGGAGATGATGGCTTATATGTCTAAAACCTTCTCTTCTTGTTTACCTTGTTCAGCTTATGTGTGAACGACAACTCACAAGGTGTGTTATTTTTTTTCCCTTAGCTTACCCCTGAAGAAGAGGAGAAGAGGAGGGTGAGACGCGAGAGGAACAAGTTGGCTGCCGCCAAGTGCCGCAACCGCAGACGAGAACTCACTGAGACGCTCCAAGGGGTGAGTTACACAGCACACACACACTCACACACACTCACCCTAACAGAGAAGAAGAGGCAAAGTTTCGTAATGGTTAGGTTGTTACGAATGAATGCACTGTTGTTACGGGCCCCGTGTAGCTCAGTTGGTAGAGCATGGCGCTTGCAACGCCAGGGTTGTGGGTTCGATTCCCACGGTGGGCCAGTATGAAAAAATAAATAATGTATGCACTCACTAACTGTAAGTCGCTCTGGATAAGAGCGTCTGCTAAATGACTAAAATGTAAAATTTAAGTGGACGCATGTGGCATTTCCGCAACTTTGACAAAAACGAGTTGTGCCTGTTGTTCACACGGGTATCTGCCCTCTCATTGGCTAGAATGGTCCCATCTGATCTCGACTTGATGACTACACCCTCCACTCCCCCAAACTGCTTCCAGCAAAAATGCCCTTCCCTCTCTCCACCACACGCCACGCATTGTTGAATGACCAAATAAGGAAGTGTCATATTTCAATCATGAAGGGCAACTTAACTTATCCCCTCAGTCTCTTTCTTTACTTTTTGCACTATTTCTCCTATTTCTGGGGTCTGTCCGCGCTTTGCTCTTTTGTTTCCTACTTCCTCATACCTTTGCGTCAGAGACAAAGTTCTCAGACAGGCCTGTGACTTATACCTGTTTGTCTGCCTGCCCCGTCTGGTGACTACAGGCTTCTTAGGGTCTTTGTCTCCTGGGGCCGTGACACATTACGCTAGAGGAGAAATCAAGCTCTGTTTGCGTGTTGCATCACATACAACAAAAAACTCAAACCATGAATGTGTTTTTTGTTTGGACAAAGTTGTACTAGCAATCATTTTTAAATTAGGATAAGGGTCAAAACTGAATGTCAAGTAAAGTGTAGGTTTGAGTTCAGGTCATTCAGGTGCAACATAGCCAAAACGTTTATTGACTGCCCTTCCACTGTATCTCAACTATTTTCCTGAGCAAACTTAATATATAATGTGCAGTGTGTTCTTTTTGGCAAACAGCACACTCTTGTGTTAGCATTAGGTGGTGCAGAAACTCACCAACGTGTACCTAAAACAGTGATTGGGGCTTTAACAAGAATATTAACACATTTGCTGTCTACTCCAAACACCGAAATTGTAATTGAGCTGAATATTAACCCTCCAGATACTGAAGATTTGAAGCTTGTCCTTATCGTCTGTTATGTTTGTTTGTGGTTTCCAGGAGACTGAGGAGCTAGAGGAAGAGAAGGCTGATCTACAGAAAGAGATCGAGACACTGCAGAAGGAGAAGGACAAGTTGGAGTTTATGCTGGTGGCCCACAACCCTGTGTGCAAACTGCCCCCTGACAATCGCCACCAGGGGGGCCACCACCACCAGCAGCAGTGCGCCCCTCTCCCCCTGACCATGCGCAACAATCTGGGTCCCCGAGGCCTCATCAACCCTGTGGTGGTGAAGCAAGAACCGCAAGAGGACGACATGGACGGCAAGTCCCAGCGCTCCGTCATCAAGCCCATCTGTCTTGGTGGAGGTGGTGGGATTTACTGCGATAGCGACAGCCTCAACACCCCAGTGGTGGCCGCCTCCACCCCGGCCTCCACACCCAGCGCCCCCAGCCTCATCTTTACCTACCCCAGCATGCTGGAGCCCGAGAGCCCCTCGCCATCCTCTGAGTCCTGCTCCAAAGCCCACAGGCGCAGCAGCAGCAGCGGGGATCAGTCTTCAGACTCCCTCAACTCACCTACCCTCCTGGCCCTCTGAGCAGGGGCAGTTAGGTGAGGTTGTGGGGGAGGGCGAGCAGCGCCCCCTACCGAATTGGAAGACAAAGAACACACTCAAGCCTGGACCAAGCCAAACCGCTAACTGTTTCCTTGACACCAGGAACCCTCAAGGGCTAAGCCGCTTGTTTTTCTTGTATGCTTCAGTGTGATTTTGTTATACCCAAAGTGTGTGCATCTGTACCAGCCAGTGTCATCCCTTCTCCATTTCAACTCCAGCACAATTTGCTTGTTGAACAACGGACATATGACATGGAGGTTAGAAATGACAGCAGAGGCAGTCATAAGAGCAGAAAACTGTGGAAAGCAAGACATATTTTTGGATCAACATTGAGTAAAGCCATTGGGCAAAAGTTGCACTCTGCTATGATCAATCTACCAATAAAGGACTAAATGAGAGACAATGGGAGGGATATAGAGACAATGGAGAGATTTTAAAAGCACTCATCTTTTTCTGAATTTTTTCTCCTCCCTCTCCCAGAAACTAGGACCTGTTTGGGGGACTACAGAGAGTGTGTGGATGCGCTGATACACTAATAAACATCTGACTTTATTTCCATCTCTACTTGTATTTATGACCTGTGCTGTGTGACCTTGCGTTCTGATGTTGTTGTCTCCTGATCTGCCTGTAGAACAGCAAAATGGTTCACTGGGTGAGCCTCAAAGCCTCAGTGTCTCAAACGAAAAAAGCCTATTTTTATTCATTGCCTAGATCCTCAACACTCTACTCCGAATATTGGTCAAAGTATCGATGGCCATCGTATTGTGTGCTTTTCTCAGTAATGTACCTGAACTTTATTATGCGTTTATTACATGTTTGTGCGATTTACATTGATGTCAGGGATTTCTCTTGTGTGTGGTGGTTGATACCCATTAAGGAGCAGCAGGGAAGCATAGGGTCTCAAATGCTGGAGTGATATCTGACGAGAAATTCAAACCGTGGACCCTTCTACTTCTGAAATTGTCATTCACCAAGACAGTTCGACCAATGAGGTTATTATGACCAACTCCTTATACCCCCAATACTAATGGAAGTGAAGGTTCAAGCAGACAGTCTAGAGCTTCATTGAAAGTCATCCTTTTTTGGGGGTTGATAGAATTGCAATATTTCAGAACTATTGTTTACTTCAAACATTCCTTACAGGGTCAGTGGAGTCATGGCCTTGCTGTGATCACGGGACAGAAGACGTACTGAAACATTTGTTGTGCTGTGCTGGGTGCAGCAAATAAGACTGTGCAAAAATCATTGCTGTTGTTGTTGTGGACTGACTGGTCTTGAAGGAGAACACATCGCTTATTTATCTTTGTGTGGGTGGTCTTGAGGTAAACTTCACTGGTTAGTTACGGTATCACATGATAGCATTTGAACAACAACACCCATCATGCATTGCGGCAAATTGCAGACCGAAAAAAGATACCAAAAACCATTGTGGGAGTGTGTGCTTTGTCTGTTCGAGTATTTTGAACCCCCTTAGAAACACGTAGGAAAGCCATTGACTTTAGATCTTCTACTACACGTGTCATCTACTGTACATCTTCTGTTTTTGACATCTATTTCTTATTTTCTCAAATGCTTTAACTGTTTAAAATGATTGAAAACAAACAAAAACAGCAATATGTATAGCAGTGTTTGTTCATTTCGTAATTTAGATCAATAATAATAATAAAAAAGCATTTTCAACAAAGAATTCTTGAAAGTTGTGTTGGCCTGTTCATCTTTGTGTTCACAAACGGTGTCCATGAGCAATAATGGTGTCCTTACATTTGTCGCTCTGAATATTAGGCACATTTTATTTTAAAGGTGGCGTACCCCTAAACTACTTAGTGGGGTAGGTAGACTAAACCACCTGTTACGTTATATATCATGCAACAGCAGGATATAACACCGCCTTAAAAAATGCAATAATTGACAGCGTGGGAAATATCTTTATTATACATGCAGACTTTTTGGTAGGTCATTGTGGTCAGTTTGTCAGAACCTACCTACAGTGACAACCATAAAATAACTGCACTTTTTCACCATATGCCTGAATGGCCAGTTAAACATTTACAAGTATTAGGTGTCATTATCCTTCACATTTCAAAAATGTGTATCCATTTCACAGTTTATACTGATTTCTAGTGGTTAAAGTGAGACAGAGGAGAGAGAACATCTGTACATCCAACAGCACGGGGTATGTTTGAGATTTTTTGAATATAATTCAATCATGGCAAAGAGTCAATGACTTTATCAACCCTTGGTAGAGAGGCTCAGTGAATGTGGAGCAGAATGTGTACAAGTGTGTCAGTGGAGACGCTGTAGAAGGACCGAGTCCAGCCTGTCCAGATGCCCCCACCTGCAACAGAGTCGGAGTGTATGTATGGTAGTCTGCGTATAGATGTGCCATAAAGAATGTCATTGGGGTAGCTTAGTGGTTAAGAGCGTTGTGCCAGTAACCGAAAGGTTGCTGGTTCTAATCCCTGAGCTGACTAGGTGAAAAATCTGTCGATGTGCCCTTGAGCAAGGCACTTAATCCTAATTGCTCCTGTAAGTCGCTCTGGATAAGAGCGTCTGCTAAATGACTAAAATGTAGAATTAGAGCACTGCAGATTCCATGACTTATCATTGTGTCCAAGCAAACAGTCAAAATTGTCTCCTCTCCTGCTAATTCCTTTATATGTCACCCCTAAAAGAGCCCATATCCCACTCCAGTTTGCCTCCCAGTAACAGTACCCAGTCAGCCCTTGTCTACACAGCACCTGTGGCCAGACCTCAAAATCACAGGAGTGTGGGAATGGTATGGAATACATCAAACACATGGTTTCCATGTGTTTGATGTCATTCCATTTGCTCTGTTACAGCCATTATGAGCCGTCATCCCCTCAGCAGGCTCCTGTGCTTAAATCTCTCAGACTGATCACAATATGGCTGTGTTTTGGTCCCGTATGAGCTCAAAGGCATCTGATAGTGAAAAGAAAATGAATAGAAAAATCAGTAACACTTAATTCAAGTCTCCAGGTATACAGTGAGGGAAAAAAGTATTTGATCCCTGTCCACAGAAGCAATCAATCAATCAGATTCCAAGCTCTCCACCATGGCCAAGACCAAAGAGCTCTCCAAGGATGTCAGGGACAAGATTGTAGACCTACACAAGGCTGGAATGGGCTACAAGACCATTGCCAAGCAGCTTGGTGAGAAGGTGACAACAGTTGGTGCGATTATTCGCAAATGGAAGAAACACAAAAGAACTGTCAATCTCCATCGGCCTGGGGCTCCATGCAAGATCTCACCTTGTGGAGTTGCAATGATCATGAGAACGGTGAGGAATCAGCCCAGAACTACACGGGAGGATCTTGTCAATGATCTCAAGGCAGCTGGGACCATAGTCACCAAGAAAACAATTGGTAACACACTACGCCGTGAAGGACTGAAATCCTGCAGCGCCCGCAAGGTCCCCCTGCTCAAGAAAGCACATACAGTGGGGAGAACAAGTATTTGATACACTGCCGATTTTGCAGGTTTTCCTACTTACAAAGCATGTAAAGGTCTGTCATTTTTTATCATAGGTACATTTCAACTGTGAGAGACGGAATCTAAAACAAAAATCCAGAAAATCACATTGTATGATTTTTAAGTAATTAATTTGCATTTTATTGCATGACATAAGTATTTGATCACCTACCAACCAGTAAGAATTCCGGCTCTCACAGACCTGTTCGTTTTTCTTTAAGAAGCCCTCCTGTTCTCCACTCATTACCTGTATTAACTGCACCTGTTTGAACTCGTGACCTGTATAAAAGACACCTGTCCACACACTCAATCAAACAGACTTCAACCTCTCCACAATGGCCAAGACCAGAGAGCTGTGTAAGGACATCAGGGATAGAATTGTAGACCTGCACAAGGCTGGGATGGGCTACAGGACAATAGGCAAGCAGCTTGGTGAGAAGGCAACAACTGTTGGCGCAATTATTAGAAAATGGAAGAAGTTCAAGATGACGGTCAATCACCCTCGGTCTGGGGCTCCATGCAAGATCTCACCTCGTGGGGCATCAATGATCATGAGGAAGGTGAGGGATCAGCCCAGAACTACACGGCAGGACCTGGTCAATGACCTGAAGAGAGCTGGGACCACAGTCTCAAAGAAAACCATTAGTAACACACTACGCTGTCATGGATTAAAATCCTGCAGCGCACGCAAGGTCCCCCTGCTCAAGCCAGCGCATGTCCAGGCCCGTCTGAAGTTTGCCAATGACCATCTGGATGATCCAGAGGAGGAATGGGAGAAGGTCATGTGGTCTGATGAGACAAAAATAGAGCTTTTTGGTCTAAACTCCACTCGCCGTGTTTGGAGGAAGAAGAAGGATGAGTACAACCCCAAGAACACCATCCCAACCGTGAAGCATGGAGGTGGAAACATCATTCTTTGGGGATGCTTTTCTGCAAAGGGGACAGGACGACTGCACCGTATTGAGGGGAGGATGGATGGGGCCATGTATCGCGAGATCTTGGCCAACAACCTCTTTCCCTCAGTAAGAGCATTGAAGATGGGTCGTGGCTGGGTCTTCCAGCATGACAACGACCCGAAACACACAGCCAGGGCAACTAAGGAGTGGCTCCGTAAGAAGCATCTCAAGGTCCTGGAGTGGCCTAGCCAGTCTCCAGACCTGAACCCAATAGAAAATCTTTGGAGGGAGCTGAAAGTCCTTATTGCCCAGCGACAGTCCCGAAACCTGAAGGATCTGGAGAAGATCTGTATGGAGGAGTGGGCCAAAATCCCTGCTGCAGTGTGTGCAAACCTGGTCAAGACCTACAGGAAACGTATGATCTCTGTAATTGCAAACAAAGGTTTCTGTACCAAATATTAAGTTCTGCTTTTCTGATGTATCAAATAATTATGTCATGCAATAAAATGCAAATTAATTACTTAAAAATCATACAATGTGATTTTCTGGATTTTTGTTTTAGATTCCGTCTTTCACAGTTGAAGTGTACCTATGATA